AATCTAAATTTCACTATCTCTACAACTTGTTTCCAAGTATCTTTTGACTTTGGATTTACACCTATCATGAGACTGAGATAATTAATTAAAAAATATCCTATTTTACAATTTAGTATGTTTGATGCCTCTTCCATTCAGCTCTGGGAAACGTTGATTCTTATAAATGCACTTTTGTGATGATTTAATATTAGCCATGAAATTACTTCAAACAATAACAGATTTACCTTTATGATTCGAATATTTGACCATAATTCCTCACCTATAACCAAAGTATCACCATCATATTATAGGTGGGAAAATCTATAATCACCTGATTCAAATTTGTAACCCGATAACTTCCTTGCCTTGATAGCCCTCTTTGTCAAAATATTGAACCATTTTTCCACCAAAGGAAAAATGAATAGAGACAGCTGGTCTCCTTGTCTGAGTCAGTGGCCCATCTTAAACTCTTTGGTGGGGCTTCCGTTCATTAGCACCGAGACTAAGAATGATTTAAATATTATGAAATCAACCTCTTCCATTTCTCATGAAAGCCCAATTTTCGCATCACAAAATCTAAAAAATTCCAAACAACTGAATCATATGCTTTTTTGAAATCTACTTTGAATAATATCACTTATTTCTTATTTGTCTTACCTTCATATACTTTTTCATTTGCAATGAGGATTCCATATAAGATTTTCTTGTCTGCAATGAAATTTAACCGAGTCATTGAAATTACACCCAATCACCTTTTTCAGCTTGTTTTCCAAAACATTTGATATGATTTTATAAACACACCTTATAAATGATATTAGCCTATATTGTAGTATCTTGGTCGAATTATTTATATTTTAAATAAACACTAAAAATGAACAATTTCCCCCTTTCATTATCCAACTATTAGCATGAAATTATGTCATTGTCCTAATAAATTTAAATTTAATGTCCTCCTAAAACTCTTTTATAAACCCGAATTTCCTTCGCCACATGCATCTGATACGACAATTTTGCCAACTCCTCTTGATCAAAACTTCGGCCTTGCTCGAGAAATAAGCATAATTTTCTTCAAAAGTAAAATATCGAAGCTCCCTAATTATCAGATGACTAGTGCATGCCAGAAGAAAAAGTGAAAATGTACATGAGGTCGATGTAAAGCATCCCCTAGGACTAGATCTTCCCATATCTTGCTCGACTGCTTAAGTTCTTTTGTCAAATGACCCTTTTTCCTAGATGAAACTTAAGTGGAAAACCCCTTGGAAGGATTCCATCCATTCGTATACGACAATGAGTGTAATGCATCCTTCCTCAGAGTCAATTAGGAAAACCTCACACCAGTGTCTGAACTGAGATAAGGAGGTCAAAAGAGGTTAAACCAACAAGAGACCTCATAGTTGGAACTTCTTTAGTGGCTGACATGTTAATGTCTTCTGCAAACAAAGAAGTGAGCCTCAGTGTCTTCTTCATTTGAAGCATCATCTTGTGACATTTCATCTTATTTACAAACAAGAAATCAGACAAGTCAAAAACATAATCCCTATGAAATTGTTAAAGAAAATAGTAAATCTAGTGCACTATACACTGAATATGACATGTCTCTCCTCTATAGTGGCAGTTTCCACCAATAAACGAGTCTCTATAATTATTTTTCCTATCTCTTTGGCGCTTCCCCATAAGGCACTACGTCATAGACAAAACCCAAATTTCCAATAAGGCCATCGTTTTCCTCTTAATATAGGCCGTCTAAAATCTAGATGAAAGCCCTAACCTCATCTAAAAAATGGTTTATAGCCATAATTTTGGAAACATGTCTGAACATTTTAAGGGTGCCTCAAATTTAGCGTCACGTATACTCACATGAGCCACCACAGTTATGGGAGGAACCGTGTAATATTGGTATTTGAAATTCTTCACACTATCAGAATATACCTAAAACATCGTATGACCATGCACAAGGGAAAGCAACCATTGACCCTGTGCTGAATCCATAAATTTGTGTTGAAATTTAAAAAGGTGAAAAAATAGTGCAAAGTTTGTCACATTTTTCTCGTACTCACACCAATATTGAAAGACTTTGACATAAACCCAACTCACAAATATTGGAAGGCTTTGACTTAAATCTAAATCGTCAGTTGCAGTTGCAGGTGGGCAATTCCCAATTGATTTTAAACACACACCTTAAAGTCATTGAAAGTAAGGCAAAAATGTATCAGGGAAAAGAAACATTCGTGAAGAGGGATGATGCACCAATCATACTTGATGCATTCACGAAAATTTATCAGTGAAGACAAATGCGACATCTAATGTTTCTTGATCCATCCGCATATAGTTGAAATGTCTTTCCAATGTTTCGAATTCCTAGGTGTGAGTTGTCCATTTTCAAATTACTTCCAACGTACAAAAAAGAATGAACGTAAGTAAAACCATAAGATTAAGATTCTAATCACCACATCACTTCACTGTATGTGGGATTATAACCAAAAACATGAAAGTGTCGTCTGATGTAGGTCTAAGTTTTACATTTTTTTTTTTCCGAAAATCATATATGACTGTAGTATTCTCCAAATGCAAAGCAAGAAAAGAAAAGCCTCAGGTGACCTCCTTGAGGTTGATACCACCAACCATTTTTTCATTATCAGTTGTAGGTTTTCCTTCAAATATTTCATACAAAGTAAAATTCTCCAGAAGAAATGGAGCAAACATGTTAAAATAATACCTAATGGGAAACTATTAAAAAAAGATGAGAAATAAACGCAAAAATTTATATGATCTCTTTTCTAGGACTAATCACAACCGTTTGAGTGGTTCTAGTTGTTAATGTTCTGTTGAGTTACAGCAAATGCCAACCTTTCCTTTGGTTCACTTGGTTTTGGTGTAGGGTGTCTCGGCGTGGCAGATGCAAATTGGGCGATTCTGTGTAACAAATTTTAATTTTGGCATATTCTGTATTTTTGGTATATTGCTTCTTGTAGCTTTTTCCATATGTTTCGACTCTACTAAGTTAAAAGGGCGGGATGCCTATGTATTTTGTGTTTGGTTTGAGGGTATTTGTTTTTTGTTGAGGAATGTGCATCATTCTTTTATTTTAGTTGAAGATTTTCTTTTCGCCCTTAAAAAACATGTTGAATGGGTAGGAGGAGGAAGAAAGGATGAATAGTTAAACCCTATTCGATGAAAGAATATTTGCTACTTTCATTGTAAATGTGCCCTTTCATTAACTTATTCTCTCATTTACACACTCGAGTCAATTTTCACTATTTCATTTACTCAGGCGTTAGACCATCAACCTTGCAGGCCGACCCTCATAGCGTCGTACAAGAAGCACGTTCTACTACATCTTAAACTAAGCTAGACCACATAGTTTTATCAAATGTTAATCTATGACCTAACCTAAAGAGACTTAGCTAGACATAACAAAATTTAATATCACAATAGAGATAAAAAAAGACACATAAAAAATAGTGGAAGGTGAGATTAATCTCTCCCCCGTTAAGTCTTTAAAGATGTATTTTATGTCGCTTTTTTGCTTCCGGTTTTTCAACATTGATTTTGTCTTTATTTCTTTAAATAATGAACCATAATAGTAAATTGAGGTTATGTTTGGATATTATAAAATAATAGAGTTGAATGAAGTAGAGCGGAATAGAATAAATATATCATTTTATTATTTGAGTATCCATTATTTAAAGATGTCCTAAAGATAAATTCCACTTCATTTCATCCTTATTTAATTAATTCAAACAATAGAACTTAAATTTATATCATTCTATTTCACCCCATTTCATTTCATTCTATCAATGCAAACATACCATAAGTCTTCATTCATATGAAAAAAAAAAATCATTATTAGGCTTAAATGCAAACAATGGAATTGCATCCCAAATCTTGGAGAATTTAACTTGCCACCTTCAAAATTAAATATGACACCCCACAAATTTTTATAATTTTCAAACTACCCATGAATAAAAAATGCTAATAAAATTTTCGATAATCTATTCAAAATTTCCAACAACGAAACAAATTTCCAATAGTTCATTTTTAAATTATCAGTATTCGTTTTTAACGAAGAGAATTAAATTTTTCAATATCAAATATATCAAGAAAATTAAATTTTACGATAGTTTAATAGCCCTCTCTCATAAGTTGTTGGACTATTAGAGCATGAGTTGGTATATATCGGTTGATGTAATTGAAAAATTTTCGATATTGCAATAGCCTTCCCTCTATTGAATATTTAAACTATAAAAAATTTCAATTTTCTAGTACACGGATTATTTCAAAATACCGATATTATTTAAAAATATCAGATTTTAAAGAAAAAATTATTATAGTTAATACTGACAATTTGAAAATGATCTACCAACAATTTAAAAAGAATTTAACTTGTCATATCCAAAATTAAACATGACATATTTTACTAATTCTCAAAAGTACGAATAAAATTTTCGATAATTCATTTAAATTTTTTACAAACAGACCAAATTTTTGATAATTTATTTTTAAAATGTCAAGAATAACTTATATATTTTTTAATTCGATATCTTTAAACTAATATCGATACTTTAAAATAATCCTTGTAGTATCGGAAATTTTAGGAAAAATGAATTTACGGTGGTTTAAATTTTGATATCAGATAGAATATGTCTCGCTATGTTTATTCCAACTCTATGATTGTACTGCAACGAAAATTCAATTTGTGATATTATTTATAATAATTTCTTTATTCTTTATAGAACATTTTAACCACATAAAAATAAAGTAAAAAAAAAATATTGATATGAAAATGACACAAGTTGTATGAATTAAGTAAAAGATACACTGAAATAAATTACAAATTTGTCTCACCTAACCTAGCTTTATACATTATATAAAAAGAATAGTATATAAAAAATTGACAATAATAAAAAATAATAACATAAAAAACGGAATAAATAATAATTGGGGATTTGGCGCACAGAATAGAGAAGAAGAAGAGAGCAAAGAGTTTGGAAATTGGAAAGTGAAAGTGAAAATTGAAAGCAATGGACGATTACACGAGAGAGATGATGGACCTCAAAACCCTCGTCACTCGCACTCTTGAAAAGAAAGGCGTTCTCGCTAGGATCCGAGTATTTTCTTTTCCTTTCTCCCTTTTCTTTTTTAGGGTTTTCTTTTTTAGATCCATTTTCAATTTAGGGTTCTTCAACTCTTGTTCTTTCAGGCTGAATTGAGAGCTAGTGTCTTTGAAGCTATTGAAGAAGAAGATCGTGTCATCGAAAAGGATCAAGCTTTGCCTCCTGCATTGTTAGGTAGCTGTAACGATCGTGCTAAACAGCTTCACGCTTCTCCTTCTGGTAATCGCTTTTGTTTCCCTTTTTTTTATTCTTAATTCACCCTTTTCATACTCTGTTTCTGTTTATATGCTCTATCATTATGTTCTTTTTGCTTAATTTCAATGTAAATTGAGCTTGAATTCAGTTATTTATTACTATATATTCCTATACATTTGGTGTATCCGATCCGACCCCCTGCATTTTGATTCGTGTGTTCTATTCTGCTCAATTACGAGATGGTCGTGTCTTTGTAATGCTCGATTTCGATCTAGTGTGAAATGTGCTTCATTACTTACTATTATTAATTCTTTTTTTTGGTATTCTTCAACAATGCAGGTAGACTTCTTACTGCACTGGTATGTGAATACCTTGACTGGGCACAGCTCACTCACTCACTAAAAGTTTATCTTCCAGAATGTAATTTGGTAATCAATCGATTTTTTGTATTTACTATCTTGTTGGTTTTTGTTTATTTTTTTTCTGTTATTATGTTGCTTTTGACTTGACATACTTTCTTTCTTGCAGGAGAAAGATTTTTGGAAGTCTGAGTTGAAAGAATTTAGTAGCAAAAATGGATATGATCTTAATAGAAATGGAGACAGCCCTGTGCTCTTGGATGTGCTTGAAGGATTCTTGAAATTTGAGGTTTTTCATCTAGTTGCACTCATCACGCCACTCTTTAATTTTGTTACCGTGCTGGTTCTTACCTGAGCTTTCTAGGTTGTACTGCATTGTGCTTAGGATGGGTTTTGGGTCCTTTAGTAATGGAATCAATGTTGCATATACTGCAGTTTTATTTTGTTTGTTGGGGGTAGCACCTATAGTAGAGAAAATGTTGGAAAATAGACTTAGCCTATGTTTGGAATTATGAAAAATCATGGCACCACTGCACAGTTTTTAAAACCTAACAATTGCAGCTTTAGAAAAACCATGGTGGGAAGCTCTTGTTGGCATTCCAATCTAGAAACTATTTACCTTGTTTAATGTTATAGTTTTGAACCGTTCTCCTTGCACCTATGTCTCGTGTTGCATGTAGTGTGATAACTCAAGTTTGGCTAGATTGAAATCCTATTACAATTGGAATTATGTCAAAATGCAGTAGGGTCCATAGGTTGGGTTAATTATGACTTTTAGAATCGTAGAGGTGAAGTGTTGTAATTTGAGACTATGAAACTTTATATTAGGAGACATAGGAAGGAATAGTTTAAATGTGGTTAAGATTGAGGAGGTAACGATATAAAAAACAGGATGGAGTGATATATTTTGTAAATCTGAAAAATGTTGAAATTTCAAAGTATAGATGACATGTATAAGGCTTTCTTGATTGAATGACCCTTACACTACAACCTAATTTTCTGGTGATTTAGGGATCCTTGACTGAGTTGTACTGAATGTTTATACACACTCCATGTGACATAAAACTATATAAAAAGACAAATAAGAATTCAGTTGTTTGCTTAGAACTATACATGAGTTGCTACTTTCTGATAAATAAATGATTTGAAACCACAATTATTAGAATTGTTGCAAATGTATACTGACTATTGATAGATTGCATGTTGAATATGATTTGATAGAACTTATCTCAAGCAAGGGCTAGTGGTAGGAGGTTCACTACTTCAGAATCTGAGCCTTTGCCAAACTCAGAATCACGGAACACACGAAGGCATTCTTCTTCATCAGTGGCTGGTGGTTTACCTCCACTAGGAAGGTACATAACTGTACTTAGTATCATTTGTTTAAGCTTAAAAAATGTTTTCAAAGTTGTATAAAATAATAATTATCCATTATTTAGATATATTACGTAAAACAGACGCTATTTTTTGTTTTATTTTTATTGTCAAAGATACTTTGTGTAGTTTAAGAAGTTGGTCATATATTACTTGTTATTTAAATCTTTGCTTTGTGCTATTACAACTCTATATCTTTCTCAGTAGAAAATTTTCAAGTAACCCATTTGTTTTATTGCAGGGCTGTTCCCTCATCTCAAGCATCTGGTGGGTATTTTTTTGTGATTAGCTTTATAGTAATTTACTCGTATGCTTGGAGATTTCCTTTAATTTACACTCTAGGCATTCAGATAGAAGAGGAGGATCCTCCGGGTCTGCATACAGGAAGGATGAGTACAATTGGCGATATGACAATGAAGAACTTCCCGAAGATGTAATTCAAGCATCAAATGCTTTGGAAAATCTTCAATTGGACAGAAAAGCTAGGAATCTAACATCATCTTGGCGGTTCGTTTTGATTCATTTCCTATGTCATTCTTTAGCATCTACTCATAAAGCATTTATATTTTTATCACCTTCTTGGTAGTTGGTTTAGCTGGAATTCAAAGCATTAGCAATAATCTTTTTCTGATTCTTGTTGATGTTTCAGACACGCTGCTGATGAAACCAGCGAGGACGATGGCAGGTCTGACCATGCTTAGGGACAAATATTGCTTGTATTGTATAACCATATTCTGTCCCTGTATTTTATTGTGTATTCTGAATTTTCTTCCTTTGGTGATGATTTAATGAGCCCAATTTTATGTAAGATTATATCATGATACGGTTTAGTGTTTTAAGTGAGCCTTTTCCTCTCAAAAATCCCTTTTGGTTCTACCTGCTGATTATCTTAGTGTTGATAATATTAGCCTGTGTTTGCCGATGAAATAAGCACCTAATTGAGTGTCAAATATGAAATATGATATATTGTTCAGCATATAGTAAAAAATGTTTTGCAAGTGAAAGCTTGAACAAAAAGCAACCATCCTTTCCAGGTTCTTTGGTTCTGTAGTATTGCTTTGAGCGACAGTACTAGAATATTTTTGTTGAAGATGTTAGAACATGTGGGCTCTGAGTCCTTCCATTGTAGGTATACATATTTGAGATATAACTAAGAGCAAAGAGTTTGGTGGCAGCAGGCTCATGATTGCTGTCATTTCTTTATTGTTTTTATCTTTCATGGTGAACTTTGGCTAATTTTTTTTAAATTAAATTTTATATAGATTTGCTTAGAAATTATTCTTAGTTTTTTTTATAGGATTAAGAGATTTTCAACAGGTGTTGGATTTGATCTTGAAAACTAGCGTAACATTAACATGAAAACTAACATAACTATTAATTATTAATTATTAAATTTTTAAGGAATTTCGTTACACCAAACTAGATATTATTAAGCTAATTCTTGTCCCTTTTTAAAAGATCCTCTTCAAATTTCTAAGTGCATTAATTATTTTTTACACATACACCCCTAAATATATTACAGATTTTTCTGCAATTTGTATTAAATACTGTTACATAAACATTAAATAATTATGTCTCTTAAGGATAAATTTGTAAATTTATATAAATAGTCAACAAAATTAATACTCTAGTTAACTTAACTTTCTTAATTCCTGGGATGATTTACTCTAGAAGTAGAGGTCTTATATTTAGGGACGGAAATAAAAGGGTCTTATATTTAAGGATATAGGCAATATTAAATTGAAATTATAGAAAGAATATTATTTAGATAATTTAATTCAGGAAGAATATTACTAAAGTTTATCGTAAATGATTGTTCATTATTGTACGAGAATCATTAGGCGATATGTTTGATGTATATTGTTGCGGTTAGAATATGATATCAAATTATTAATTAATTTGAATCGCATCTTTAGTTCACAACCGCTCTTTGATTTATCCGAAGGAAAATGTCAAAAGAGGAAAACCTAATTTTGCATCGTAAAGACAATGCATTTAGAGATCTAGGTAAGGGGTTGGTTAAGCTTAGGGAAGGTACTAGCACCCTAAACTTCTGTAGTACTCTACAGGAACCTTTTGTTTATTGTATGCTTTTTTATTTTATTATCTGTTTGAAATATATTGCTAAGGGATAGAGTGACCTAAAGACCTAAGGGTTAGTCCTAAGTTTACTCGGCAAGACGTTGCATCTTGTGCCTACGTATCTTGGATAGGGAATGGAATCAGAGTAATCGTAGTTCTACTCGAAAGGGAGGTTAGAAACTTCTTGACTGTGGTCAAGATTTCAATGGGGAATAAACGTATCTTAAGGACACGCTTACGTGGAGTCTTAAAACTCTTATTTCTACGTTGAATTTGTTAAATGAAATTAGGGTTAAATTAGAGTTGACTAAATGTTCCACGGCGGGAAACCCTAAAACAGAGTACGGCTAGGGTAAAGGGCATTTTCATCTACGGCGGGACACCTAGACTATTAGGGTTTGGAAATGTTCAAAGATTATGGTTATTGACTCGGCGGTTAAACGACTAGACCTAATTCCTTCGGAGATGAACATAACTGTAAATCATGCAAAACATGACAAATTATTATATGGTGGAAATTAAAGTGCGGAAAGTAAAGAAAGCGGAAAAAGCGACGCGACGATCACTCGCGTAAATTACAAATCCCCAAAAAATGTGAAATAAAAAATAAACCGCGACCATGGCCTCGCGTAAATTACATCCATGGAAAATGCAAGAATAATAATGAAATAAGAGCGACGATTGCCTCACGTAAATTACAACTATAAATTGGAGTGCAAAAAATAAAGGATCAATAAACTATACATCTGAGAAAAAAAATATTAGGAACGTCATAAATTAGAAATCTAAAATTTTTTTTTTAATTACAATTTATTAAAAACTAAATTAATTATAAATCATAAAAAACTGTTACTAACTATAAATTATAAAAAAAAGGAAATACTAACTATAAGCTAATAATTACTATTAAAATGTTTAATTTCAAATTATTAAAAAAATAAACTAATTATAAGTTATAAAAAATGGTTTTTAATTATAAATTTTATATTGATATATATAGATTTTTAAAAAGGTTTGTAGTAACTTTAACTAAATAATGGTTTTAATTTACAAACTTAGATTTAAATTTTAAAAAGGTGGTTTAAATTTGGAAAAAAAGTTTTAGTTTTAAGAAAAAATTTTAATTTTGGAAGAAAAAAAACTTTAAAAGAGATTTTAACTTTAATAAAAGAGTTTTAAATCTTGTTAAAAAAAAGTTTTAATGTTGAATAATAGGTCTTAATGTTAGCTTTATGTTTCTTTTGTTGTATTTCTTTTTAAAAACGGTTTAATTAAAAATAATGCACTAACCTCTAAAAAAAGAATTTTGGTTCAAGAGGAGTTTTAATTAAGAAAATTCATTTTAATATTAACTAAATTTAAAAAGTTAGGAAAAACTTACAGTAACGGCGACGGATTCTTGAGATGGGATTTGAAGCAGTTCCGAAAGGAGGACAATGATGAGAGCTTGAGCTTCTCTGAGTCGTAATGATGATGATTAACGAAGGAAGCTCCGTCTTCTTCTTTGAAGAATCGTTCCTTTCTTCTCCTTCTGGGTTCATGGGTTCCTCCTTTCTTCTGATAAGTTGTGAAAACGGCCGCCGTTTTTTCTTTTGTCTCCTTCTCCCCTTTTTCTCAAATGCAACTCATGTTTATATAGATAACAAATTAGGGTTAACTCTAACCTAATGTCCACTTTAAAGCCCAACTTAAAGAATTAGTCAAAACTAAAACAAATTAAAACAAACTTAAAACCCTATTTATTTACTAAACATTAAAAATATTATAAAAAGAATAAAATCTTTTCTAATATTTTTAATTTTATAATTTTTGGATGTTTTTATGAATAATATGAAAAAATAATAATATTTAATTATTATTTTTGTATTTTATTTAAATAGAAAAGTTAGAATAAAATTAAAAGAAAAACAAAAAATGAAAAAGGTGTGATTCGAACTCTCGACCTCTCACACTCACAACTCCTCACACACGGTCTCTTGCCAATTGTGCCATTTTGTTCATTCGAAATAAAGTGGCACTAGAAACCATGTAAAGGTAGGACAAATTTGGGGTGCAACAGATGCCCCTATTTAAATAGCTTCACCGGATGATTTGAGCAGCAGAGACTCGAGAAATCGCGGTGAAAGGGATTTAAATACAGATAACCGAAAATTTGGCCCCTAGATGCAGTGATATGCAATGATATGGACAAAATAACACGAACTATAATGTTGATAATGTCATGAATCTAATATGATGCGTATGATAGAATGATGAATGCAAGGATGCAGACGACACGACGACATAGGGGACATACGCGACAAGTAACTACATTGGGGAATACGACGCACAGGTGGAATAGCACGACAATTGTCACTTTAGAACGAACAATAACACAGGATCCACACGGCGGTAGGATCAGGTAAACGACAAGTGCTGGAATTTCCCGGTCATTCCTTCAAACGAAGAGATCGAGCAGGATCTTCAGGAATCATCGAAAATTATACAGAGAGAAACAAACACCAGAGATACTCGGAAAAACCATCGAATAACCTCGGGGTCAAAGAAACAAATTTCAGGGACATCCGGAAGAACGTCGAATGAACTCTAAAACATACCAGAGTTACTCAGAGAAACATCGAATAAACCCTGGGCTATATCCAGAAACAAAAGGACGACATCTATAGGAGCATAAGATGAAGACAAGTTTCTGAAGGTAAATCCGAAACATTAGGAAAGCAATAAATGTACGGGGCAAGTTTTGAAGACCTATCTAGAAGAACATCAGATAAGCAACAAAGGGGTTCTGGAAGAACGTCAGAACAAAAACTCAGTCTGGAAAAACCTCAGAAAGAGAACAGATCCAGAAAACCATCAGATAAGATTCTGGAAAACCATCAGAATCACAGGGGTATCTGGAAAATCGTCAGATAGAGTTCTGGAAGAACATTAGAACAAAGACTCGATCTGGAAAACCATCAGAAGGAGGAATTTATCCGGAAAACCATCGGAAAGATTCTGGAAAACCGTCAGAATCATAAAAGAATATCTGGAAAACCATCAGATAAGAGATACTTAATCTGGAAAACCGTCAGAAAGAGAAACAGATCCGGAAAACCATCGGATAGATCCTGGAAAACCATCAGAATCGAAGGAAAATATCTGGGAAACCATCAGATAAAAGATACTAAATCTGGAAAACCATTAGAAAGAGAAACATATCCGGAAAACCATCGGATAGATTTTGGAAAACCATCAGAATCAAGTGAAAATATCTGGAAAACCATCAGATACGTAACAACGAAGTTCTGGAAGAACATCAGAACAACGAGACTCAATCTGAAAAACCATCAGAAAGAGACATTAAAATCAGGGTACCAGACATCCAATAATGGCTTTGAATGAAAGGTATAAACACAATATATGAGAATAATATTGGACGTAAAAGGAACAGGCATATCCGGAAAACCATCGGATAAGAAAAACGTCATATCTGGAAGAACATCAGATGAACACGACACAAAGTTGTTTGGTAGGTGCCAAGTAAGTTGGACTTCAACCACAAGGTAAGACCTGGATAAAACATGACCTCATAGGTATGATATGTATATGTATATGAATTATGTTATGAGATATGATC